AGGGGAGGGGTGTCACAGAGGCCCTGGCTGGCTGCTGAGCCCAGGGGACACCCACAAGCTGTGTGCTCCCTGAAAGACAGTCATGGCGCTGGGGGAGGCCAGGCTTGTGGAGCCCAAGTTCTGAGGGCCGCCTGATCATGACTGCGATCCATCTGTCTCCGTGCTGTCCAGGGTCTGTCCCCATTCTCAATGTAATCAATGCGGTGCAAAGTTCCACCTTCCTGTGAGCCCGCTGCCTCGCTGCCTCTGCCCCACCCAGCCCAGGGTCTGCAGCGGGGCCAGGGAAGAGCTGCGCTCTCCCCCACCACGTGGCTGGGGACCAGGCTCAGGCCCTGGAGGAGCTCAGGCTCCTCCCCAGGTCCTCCCCAGGACCCAGCCCCGCAGCTCAGCCTTCCGCTGACAGCAAGTCCAGAGCACTGCCATGACTTGCTGCCATTTAAATTTTTACCACAGCTCATCGGAAAGCCAGCATTTAGAGATTAAATTATTACATTATAATGTATTCTCTCATGAGGATGTTTTGGAACAGACACACATTATCCAGTATAATGGTGGTTTCCTGCTTCTTAAATTGTATTTCAAATGAGCAGCTAATGATCACGGAGCCCAGAAACTTAAATAAAAACGAAAAGAACAGAATCCTGTAATTAATTTAAGCACATGTGGATGGAGGTTTTTAAGGAAGAGTACATTGAACGAGGATACAAATACATTCTTACATATAATTTCTTTCCTAAATAGTACTTCATGGTGACATCATGCTAGGGGTCTGGGAAAGGAGTTTTTAGGGAGACTACCATTCCTTAATCAATTTTGCTATACCAGCACCATCGGGACCCGTATGTCAGCAGTGCTGTGACTTTTGTCCGAGGTCTCCGCGTTCCAGCAGAGAGAGCAGCACGCTGTCTGTGCGTGCATTTCCTTCTGTGTGGTGTTGGGCAGTCCTTGGGGAGCTCTGAGTTGGTGTCGTGGGCCTTTGGAGGAAAGCGGGATGTGTAATGAGATCACCTCCACACTGCATAGCTCCCAGAGGGGCCAGGTTCCCAGGGCAATGGCTGTGCATGCTGGGCTCTAGAGTCTGGTGCAGCCCAGGCCACCAGGCGGGCAGGATGGGTCCCCCGAGAGCAGGCATCCACCCAGACTGCTCGCCTGTCCCCAGGGCTTCAAGTCTTTCTGGTAGAAGCTGTGACATCTGTCAATTAAGGATGGAGAGGCCTCCCAGGTCTGAGGCTCAGTCCTCAGAAATACAGACAAGCCCCTCCCCCCTTCCAAAGTGGAGGCGCTCCCTGAGCCTTGCTCTTGGCCTCCTGTCACTCCCGATCTGTGCCCGCGGGGACTCGCTCCTAAATGCAAATGTGCAGCTCCCCAAGTAACTTTTGTCAGTGTTAACTTCCAGAAAGGAATCTCTGTCTTCTCACTGCAGCCACAGTGGCTGTGTGAGGAAGAGGAGGAATGGTTTGATAGCACAGTCCCTCCTCCCCCACCACGGGTCCCCCCCTCCCCATCCAGGTTGGGAGAACTGGGAAGGAGTCTCAGAGCAGGGCAGGCTGGGGGGGAGCAGGGCAGGCTGGGGCAGGGAGAGCAGGGCAGGCTGGGGGGGGGGCGGCCTGTGACCCCGAGGGAGTAACTGGTGATGGGTGAGCATGATACCACTGGCCGGGGGTTTCTTTCTCATCGTATCTACTTTTCAAGGCTTTTTTTTTTCTTGCAAGCTGCGTTGAGATGAGTATTTGAAAGGAAATCTGCCTGCTGCAGAAGAGGGCAAGCTTTCTGGGGAAACATTCCTTCCTGTGTGTGTACTTGCACATGCGTGCACACACGCCTGTGCATACATGCAGACACACACCGGCTTTCTATAAAAACCACCGTTACATGTTTTGTGTTTAAAGATGAATAATTTCAGAGCACAGCATTTTATGCTGTTACCTGAGGAGCTCTTATTACACTAGGTATGTTCCGTATTCAAGTATAGGATACTTCTTTTCTGTTAGGGTGTTTCCCACTGGATAATGCATCTTTTTCCCTCACCGTAAGTAATGCTTTGGCAAGGACTTACTTCCCAAAGATGGACGTGTCACCTTGTCTGGTTATGTAAACACTGTCCACTCTAATGTGGGGGCTCGAGTTGCTTTTTGTTTCCCCTTTCTAATTATTTGTGCATATTTTAAATATATTTGTTATTATCTTTAAGCAGTTGTACCAGAGAGTCGCCGTTTAACAGAGCAGTTTATGAAGAGAAGGCACCTTGGTCAATGTGAGCCTTTCTTCATTCCGCCCCCTCCCAGCCGCCCCCCTCCACTTGGCTGACTTTGGTAGGGTCTGTACCGGCTTCTCACCTGCCTTCTCCCTCCGTCCGCTCCTCATTTGCCTACTGCCCTCCCCTTGATCCCAGCCACCCCCTTTCACTGTCATCCGAGGGCTTGGCTGACTATTCTCTCACTCTACTGTTTCAGTTAATACTTAAATTTTTAACTGTTGCAGTGACAACAATAATAATAATTTCTCTAGGGTATTTTGGTTTCCTAGATGATTTGGAACAATTTACAGCTTAGGGTTTTTTTGAGTACAATTTATTATTTGAACACTTGCCCAACACTGCAAGTTATTTGAACACTTCACAGTTATTTGAACACTTGCTCAAAATGTACAGGAAGGCATTTGGGTTCCAAAAATCAAAACATCACAGGTCCATGTAAATTGTGCTTGGAACACATAAACGTAGATGTACATTACACATGGATGCATATAGTGATTGTCAGCATTTGCCCTGGGATGTGAATTCAGGGACTCATGTGTGATAGACTGGTGCTCTACCACTTGGGCTTACCTCCAGCCTTAATTTTTGCTTATTATTTTTGAGAGACCGTCTCTGTCTCCATCCAGGTCTACTATAAATGACCCAGGTTGCTGGGCTCACCGCATGCCGCCACACCCTGCTGTCCTCTCTAGAGACAGAGACCCACAGACACTTCTCACAGGCTGGCTGGTGCTACCGCCCACGGCTTTCCCCCTCCTATGCCTGGGAGGGCAGACATGCACCGCTGGACTCAGCTCTGGATTGAAAAGAAGTTCCTGCAAACTTTTCTGCCAAGACTGGCTTCACACTGCAACCCTCCCAAGCTCAGTGTCCCCAGGATCTCAGATTACAGATGTGAGCCACATGTGGCTGGAACTTTTCAACCTTCTTGATCTTCATCCACAAGCAGTGCTATCAAACCATGTGAACGGAATCAGGAGCAGGTAGTAGGAGCTGTGTTGTGTTTGGTCTCCCTCAGCACCCAGTCCCAAGCCCCCATCTGATTTGTCTTCCCTGCTGCCAAAGTCCTTCCTTTCCCACAGGCATGCAGAGGAGGGGAGAGAACCCTTTGCCTTTTCTGGTATGGGGTGGTATTGTTCTCACACATTACGACACACCGGAACAGTGACCAGGTTGCCTTTAAAGGTTCATATTTGAGCTTTCCTTCAAGCGTGTGTCTGATTTTCTTGGATTTTTCGTGGAGAATGTGGTTTGGTGCTGGCTGGTGGGGGTTCATGTGATACCTTAGGGACCTCTTCGATTCTCATCAATTAAAAACACTATGTTTCAAAATAACATGACTATTCAGCCATGCTCAGATTCCTGCCTGCGAGAAACTGCAATAATAAGGGTTTGTGGTTTAAGCCATTAGGTGTTGGACTGATTAGTTATTCAGGGGACAGCTTGCAATTGTTGACTAGCTCAAGTCTAGTCAATTCACTCTAGTTACTCTTCTTGATAATTTATACTTGTTTCATTGCCTGCTTTTACGTTGGCAGTTCTCTTAAGATTTTAACATATACAATTAACTTTGGTGAACACGTTTTAAGTCGCACTGTTGAAGCATACTTTTTCTCTGGATACCATATTCTAAAAAAATGTCCTCTTCCGCTGGTGAAAGAAACCTTACAGATCTTCGTCCTCTCTACTAAACTTTCACGTAGAAATCTTCTGACAACATGTCCCTGCTGACACGTCTGACGTTACTTTGGTTGGGCCCCACCTCTGTGGTCGCCAGGATGAGCCGGGGTGTTCTCAGCCTCGACTGTGTAGGATAGACTCCAGAAAATCAGATTGTCACAGTCAATTTTGACAAATGGCTGGCTTGGGAATGATAGGATGGGAAGTAATAAAAATCTTAAAAAGGCCTTAACTCTAGCTTTCAAAATAAGATCAGCTCTGCTGTTGGTAGAGGTGTCCTGGCTGCCTCCCTGCTTCCCTGTGGGGATGTGCTACAAACGCAGGAAACTGCACACACTGCACGCAAAGGAACTGTAGAGAGAAACTGGGAACTCATTACATATGAAATATGTCATGATGGATACCTACTGTAGGCACGATTAAAAATTAGGTGTACTCATTGAAACTTTAAAGGATTAAAATGACTGAGAGTTACTAGTAAAACCAGAAGACCTCCATTTCCACTAACAAAAAGAAACGAAAAGTTTATAATTTCCCCAAAATGCTTATATGCTCACAGATGTTCTGTTCCCCAAAGGTTTTAGTATGTAGATATTACAAAGGTAAGAAAATATTAAAGTATTCCAGAGTCGCTTTGCACAGATGTGCACAATTCATATTGCATAGACATATATATGTATACACACTGTATACATATTTTGTATTTTGTTATCAGACAATTTAAGTCACAAGTTTTTCAGTGAGAATTACAATTCTCTGTGTTTAAGTTTTTGAGAAGAAAACCTCCATGATGTGGAGATCTAGTCTAAAGTCCTGCGTTTGCCAACATGGGAGTTTCTCCATCTGGACAAACGTCACCTGGGCGTGCGGGAGGTGATGGGCTGGGCTTTCCCACGCCAGGAGCTGACTTCTAGTTGCTGGATTGGAAAGACTGGCTACCTCAGGGAGGGACTGAGATAGAAAATAAATCGGGGGGAGGTGAATGGGGTGTCCGTGCCCCCAGCACAAGTCTGGTCATTAGGATGGGGAGGATTGTTCTCCTTGGACTGTGTCCTAAATCACCATGAGTGGATCAAAGCAGGAGATGCTCATGGTCGCAGAGCGGGAGGTCAGAAGGTCGAGAAGGTGAGCCAGAGCATCCTTGGTCTGCCTCAGCTCCCGTGGCTACAGATGTGCTGGGGTTGCGGTTCATCCATCCTCTGCATTTTTCCCAGGCCTTCTTCTCCTCACAGTTCTCCGGTCCTCTCCCTTTCTGACAAGGATTGGTCGTTGAGCATACTCTCTACTCCAACTCCAGGGCAGACCTCTCTTAACTTAATTACGCCTAGAAGCCCTGTTTCCAGACAAGCTGATGATTCAGGTGGTCGTGGAATTTGGGGGACATGACTTAACTCATGATCCATCGTGACACAAAATAAAGAGAAGGAAAAGAGCAGGATACAGAAAACAAAGGAAAGGAGAGATTGGCACAGGAATCTATGTGCACAAACATGTAGCGTCTCCAGAAGCACCCAGGAGGACATGCGCGTGCCTCACCACTGAGCTAACGCCTCACACACTCGTGTCTGAACGGGAGGGCATGGCTCATCCGCAGATGCTCTGGTTGATAGTTCTAAATTGAAACTTAAATGCCAAAAGTAAATTCTGCTCAAGTGTCTGCTTAAGACAGGGATCAGAAGACACGTGACACCATTTTTTAGTCAATTTCCTTATCTCTGCTCTGCCGAGATTTGCTCTGTGAGAGTCTCAGCTGGGGAGTGAAGGAGAGGGAATAAAAGGCAAACCGCTTCCCTCCTGACTGGACTCTCCCTCCAGCAGGAGTGCTGCTGGCTGCTTGGTACTGGGAACACCGTCTCCTGTCACCCTTTGGGCTGAGGCAGAATTGCAGTCTGGTCTTATTTACTTCCCAGCCAGGCTAATTAAAACTCTCATCTGTGCCTATTCGAGCTGACTAATGTAATTAAAAAGACATTTAGTTTTTCACCTGTTCAGGATAGCATTTACAGTGACAAATGTTTTCCCTGAAATTACAAAATAGTTTCCATTTTTTTTTAAATCTCCTGGTTCATGATTTTCTGCTCCCAACTTTCTGAAAAATTCCTCTCTCGTTGAAAGTGGCTCAAACATTCAGCTCGCAGAGGTGTTGGTTGTCCTGTTTATGGGCAAAACTAGTCTGAGGTCAAGGGTCCGGGCTAGGACTGCAGGCCCTAGGCCTGAAGAGGCCTTAGACATTCATCCTGCAGCCTTCAGCCTCCATCACCAACTTAAAAGGACAAGACAAAGCCCAGACAGAAAGCCTAGAATGCAGTCCGGGTTGTTTGTCATTCTCAAACTGTATTCGTAAACAATGAATGCACACATGGCGCGCTACACACAAATCCACGTGTTGATACATACACATGCATGTGCTGCACACATGGGCTGCGGATTTATAGTTCTGGGTGAGAACTGATTTCTGTGGTGCAAACTGTCCCCACCAAACACATTGTGAGTGGACGGCCACGTTTCCCAGGCAATTCCTGCTTTGTGTGGTTTTCCAGAGCATGAGTCTAAAACCATTCCAGAATAGAGCTTGGGTTTTCTCTTTAGATTTTATTTAAAAACAATGAAGTTCATATAAAGTTCATAGAAAAGGTAAATTTGTCATTTTGAACCACAGCCTTCCGTAAAAAGACAACAGGAAAGGCAAATAGCTGTAAGGTTACTGTAATGTTTTAAAGGGACAGCAATAAATTGCCAGGACATTTTTATGGAGTTTTTTAACCTCTGGCCTTTGGAGAGGGGAAAATCAATAAGATATTAAGAAAATCATGAATTAATGTTTCATAGAGTGTAGGCATCAGTCGGGGCCCTGGGGTTTGGACAATGTCCAAATGGGCGGGGGAGCAGCCCTGAGCACCCCCAGGAAGGGGAGGCGTCTGCAACGGTCCGTGAGGGCGTCCTGGGGAACAGTGTTCCCACAAATAGTGCTCCCACCAACAGTGCTCCCACACACGGCGTCCTTGCTGAGCATGGAGCACACAAAACTTAGGGACAGATAAATTCCTCTGCGGAAATAAAGCACAAACAACTCTTTCTGCTTTGGTGAAATAACTTCTTCATTTCTGGACTTTACTTCCTGAGGAGTTTCTAGTGGACTCACCTTGTGTTTACGCAGCCTTGGGCTTTGGAGCTCTGTTTTGTATGAATGAGCTCTCTGGTCTCAGGAACGCTCAGTAAACATGAACATCTTCCATAGTGTCCAGCCCTGAAGGTTCCCTCCAGAAATGCCCTCCAGGTCCTTCCTTCCCCCTCTCTCTCTCCCTTCCTTCCTTCCTTCCTTCCTTCCTTCCTTCCTTCCTTCCTTCCTTCCTCCCTCCCTCCCTCCCTCCCTCCCTCCCTCCCTTCCTTCCTTCCCTCCATCCTTCCTTTCTTCCCCACCTCAGTACCTCCTTTTTTCCTTCTCTACTCCACTACCTCCTTCCTTCCTTCCTTCCTTCCTCCCTCCCTCCCTCCCTCCTTTCCTTCCTTCCTTCCCTCCATCCTTCCTTTCTTCCCCACCTCAGTACCTCCTTTTTTCCTTCTCTACTCCACTACCTACTTCCTTCCTCCCTTCCTTCCTCCCTCCCTCCCTCCCCTCTTCCTTCTTCCCTGGATGCCAGGCAAAGGCCTGGTCCCTAGAACAGTGTTCCCCCTGCCCTGCTTCCACGCCTCAGAGCAGCACAGCAGAGATCTGGCGTGGAGCTAGACTCCTGGGAAAGGTGCAGAGGGTCAGAACCTTGTCGGGCCCTTGGGTAGAATGGAGCTAGGGGCGGTGCTAAAACCTCCCATTCCACCCTCACTTCCTGGAGGAAGTAGTTCCAGCTGCTAGGGTTCTGATCCTGAAGGTTGAATTGAGGAGTAAAGAGGGCAAAGGAGGGGAGGGGAGGACAGGGGAGGGGAGGAAAGGAGAGGGGAGAGGAAAGGAGGGGAGGGGAGGGGGAGGGGAAGGGAGGGGAGAGGAGAGGGGAGGGGAAGCAGGCCCACACCTCCCGGCTCAGGAAGAGTCAGGATTGACTTTGGCCATCTCAACTCCCAGATGCTGCATCCACCTGCAGCCTCTGCCTCACCTTCTCAAGTGCTCTCATTCTGAAGCTACGCCTTCTGCTAACACCTCGACTGTGAGGCAGAACGGAGCTGTCCAGGCCTGGCCAGACTCACCGGAGGCCAAGGCACTGTGTCTTGCCGGCCACGCCCACCTCCTCCAATGCCTTTTCCAAAGCTTTGTCCAAAGTCACTGTAAGAAGAGCCACCGGAGTTCCAGGTGCCACCCTGGTGGCTTCAGCAGCCACGGCAGGTATTAGGGTGAAACCAGCCCAGCAGAGAGGGAGGCAGTGTCCCCTGGGAGGGCCTGGCTCTGGAAGGCCCATTCTGCCAGGCTCAGCCCCCCTGCAAACAGCCTCTGCGGCAGGCGGCTGTGCCGAGCTAACAAGAACTGGACGGCAGAAGATGGGGGCCGAGTCCCGGGTGTCAGCGTGCAGGGCTGCTCCATGAGCCGCATGGCAGACGACAGGGAGGCGGCGCACCGCACGGCAGCCACACCCTGTAGGTGTTCTCGGGGGTCCTTGGGGCTCACGTTTGCAGTGACAGAGTCCACGTGGAGTTTAGCTACTCTGCCATGTGCTCGGAGGCCCGAGTCCTGGCGAGACGCAAGGGTGGATTTGATGTCTGCCCAAGCTGACGCCGGCAGGCACTCACACGGGCCCAACGCTGGTGCAGAGAAATGTGTGATTGTCTCTTTTACCCCTTGTAGCTGCTTGCACCATCCTGAGCTCCCTGAGAAGGAAATGGGCAAACTCGGGAGTGACCGGAAAGTAAGTGGAGCCCAGACCAGCACAGAGAGGCCCCGCCTGGGCAGGGACAGCCCTGCCTCCCCCCCCCCCCCCCCCACGTGCCAACTCTGAGAAGACAGAGCGCAGGAAGCTCCCTGGGGCAGCAGCTGGGTTGGTTCTGATGGTGCTGGAGGAGTTGCGGAGAAGCTGTCCTCCCCGTCAGGACTGGAGGCTGGGGCCTGGCCTTCGCTCTGGCAGCCATCAGCCCCTGCCTGACACCAGACCAGACCAAGCAGGAAGGAGCCGTGAGGAGAGATGCAGACATATCGAGACACCTCCTGCTCAGCCCGGCGACACCTCCTGCTCAGCCCGGCCGCCCAGAGCAGCCCCTGAGCCTGAGCCTCAGGCAGTTTGGCCTTCTCTGAGAAGTGTGGACTGCTAAGGGTTTGATAGGCTGGTTTTGAAGAGCCCGAGGAGGAAGGAGAGGGGGCAGCGTCCAGGCCCGGGCCCTCTGGGAGGACCTCTGCCCCGGGGAGGAGGGGATGCCCCGTCCTGAGTCTTCATGGCAGAGCTGAGGCGCCGCGCACTCGGGGTGTTTGGAATGTGACTGCGAGAATTAACCGTGTGCACGACGGGGGCGCAGGCTTCTCCTGTCTGCTCAGCCCCGCCAAGGTTGCTTCTGAGTAGAACGTTCTGGTCTTTGAGACGTTCAGTGACATAAACACAGAAGGAGGATGGTATAGGGAAGAGTGAGGAAGAAAACAGGGAGCAGGGGACGGGAGTTTGAGCCCTGCCTGCCAGGGGCCGGGGGAAGAAGCAAAGAGCGATCACTGCCTTGCCCAGTGCCCCAGTGCCCCAGTGCCCCGTGCCCCTTGCCCTGTGTCCTGTGTCCTGTGCCCTGTGCCCTGTGCCCTGTGCCCCAGTGCCCCGTGCCCCTTGCCCTGTGCCCTGTGTCCTGTGCCCTGTGCCCTGTGCCCCAGTGCCCCCGTGCTCATGCCCTGTGCCCCGTGCCCTGTGTCCTGTGCCCTGTGCCCTGTGCCCTGTGCCCTGTGCCCCATGCCCCGTGCCCTGTGCCCTGTGCCCTGTGCCCCAGTGCCCCGTGCCCCGTGCCCTGTGCCCCAGTGCCCCGTGCCCCGTGCCCTGGTGCCCCAGCGTCCCATGCCCTGTGCCCCGTGCCCTCGTGCCCCATGCCCCCATGCCCCAGTACCCCAGTGCCCTGTGCCCCGTGCCCTGTGCCCTGTGCCCCGTGCCCTGTGCCCTGTGCCCCGTGCCCTGTGCCCCGTGCCCTGTGCCCTGTGCCCTGTGCCCCGTGCCCTGTGCCCTGTGCCCCGTGCCCTGTGCCCTGTGCCCTGTGCCCCAGTGCCCCCATGCCCCAGTGCCCCAGCGTCCCAGTGTCCCATGCCCCATGTCCCGTGCCCCAATGCCCCGTGCCCCGTGCCCTGTGCCCCGTGCCCTGTGCCCCGTGTCCCGTGTCCCGTGCCCTGTGCCCTGTGCCCTGTGCCCCGTGCCCTGTGCCCTGTGCCCTGTGCCCCATGTCCTGTGCCCTGTGCCCTGTGCCCTGTGCCCCGTGCCCCGTGCCCTGTGCCCCATGCCCCATGCCCTGTGCCCTGTGCCCTGTGCCCCGTGTCCTGTGCCCCGTGCCCTGTGCCCTGTGCCCTGTGCCCTGTGCCCCGTGCCCCATGCCCTGTGCCCCATGCCCCATGCCCTGTGCCCTGTGCCCCGTGCCCTGTGCCCTGTGCCCTGTGCCCCGTGCCCTGTGCCCTGTGCCCTGTGCCCCAGTGCCCCCATGCCCCGGTGCCCCAGCGTCCCATGCCCTGTGCCCCATGCCCTCGTGCCCCATGCCCCCATGCCCCAGTGCCCCAGTGCCCCGTGCCCCGTGCCCTGTGCCCTGTGCCCCGTGCCCTGGTGCCCTGGTGCCCTTGCCCCAGTGTCCTATGCCCTGTGCCCTGTGCCCCAGTGCCCCCGTGCCCCAGTGCCCCAGTGTCCCAGTGTCCCATGCCCCGTGTCCCGTGCCCCAATGCCCCGTGCCCTGTGCCCTGTGCCCCGTGCCCTGTGCCCCGTGCCCCGTGCCCTGTGCCCCGTGTCCCGTGTCCCGTGCCCTGTGCCCTGTGCCCCATGCCCTGTGTCCTGTGCCCTGTGCCCTGTGTCCTGTGCCCCGTGCCCTGTGTCCTGTGCCCCGTGCCCCATGCCCCGTGCCCCGTGCCCTGTGCCCTGTGCCCTGTGCCCCGTGCCCTGTGCCCTGTGCCCCGTGCCCCGTGTCCCGTGCCCTGTGCCCTGTGCCCCGTGCCCTGTGCCCTGTGTCCCATGTCCCGTGCCCCGTGCCCTGTGCCCTGTGCCCTGTGCCCTGTGCCCCGTGCCCTGTGCCCTGTGCCCCTGCCCTGTGCCCCGTGTCCCGTGTCCCGTGCCCTGTGCCCTGTGCCCCGTGCCCTGTGCCCCGTGCCCTGTGCCCCGTGTCCCGTGTCCCGTGCCCTGTGCCCTGTGCCCCGTGCCCCAGTGCCCCATGCCCCGTGCCCTGTGCCCAGTGCCCCAGTACCCCAGTGCCCTGTGCCCTGCGCCGCTCACGGGATGGCGGTGGTGAGACCCGGTGGTGCCAGCACACTGGCGTCGTCTCTTCTCTAAAACACATGCTGAGATGCCTCAGAGCCCCTGTGCACACAGACCCGGACCGTGTGCACACACAGTAGAGTGCATGTTCCCGGAGCCTGGGTGAAGGATTCCTGAACCAGGCTGCCCATGTCAATACGCTCTTAAAAAAAAAAAAATTCTAGGGGTGGCCTGAGGATTCCTAGCTCGAACTGATGGGAAAATAAAAAGTGAGTTAAATGCACACAAACGCCTCCCCCTTCTCTGCATGAAGCAGCGATCCTGGTTAGTTGGGGGAGGAGGGAGCTGGCTTAACAACCGGCTTCAGGGTCCACTGGTGTCAGAGCCCTGTCCTGAGCCCTGTCCTGAGCCCTATCTTGGAGAAAGTGTCTGCTCCCAGCCTCTTCCTCATACCCTTCCCGCCGGTCTTCCAGGAGCCTGAACTCTGCGTGTCAGGAAGGCTCTGACCCAACAGGAGCAGAGACGGCTGTTTCTGGAGAAGCAGGAGGAAGCAGATGGCTGTGAGGCCAGGAACCTTGTGTGATTCTGACAGCGCTGCCCACCCGATGGGGGTTCCATCTTCTTTGGTCTGCCCCGCTAGGGACATCCTCTCCCCCACCACGATGGACCTCTGCATTTGTCGGGGCCATGAAGGGGGCTCGAGCCAGGGGACGGGGACAATGAAGGAGCCGGAGCCCAGGAGCCAGGGCGATGCAGCAGGAGTTGGAGGACACACAGCGCTGCCCTGCATCTTCTTTCTGACAACCCAAGCCATGCACCCCTCCAGGGCTGAGGCCCAAGGGTCCCATGTTAATAAAAATCATGGTTTTGCTGGAGTGTGGTCAGAGGGAAGGCCGTGCACTTGATGACAGTGGCATGTGCCTCACGCCATTGCAGATGGAAGCATCTCAGAGGCCTCGACACACGGGACCCAGTAGAGCCAAGTGGGGCGAATGCCTCAGGGCCTGCAGCCCTGGAGGAAGAGGGAGAGCCTGGGGCGGGGCTGGGGGCGGCTGAGGGGCCGGGTGGGAAGCAGCTCAGTGTGGAAGCGTGGCTGGACATGCCCACTGCCTGCAAGTCACCGCACTGCAAGCCCACATCTGCCTGGCTCCAGCGGGAGTGAGTTAGAGACAACCCAGAAGGGTCACCGTCTGCTGCTGATTCAATCATATTCCAAAAAGCAGTGGAATGATTAGACCAACGATCAGAACCAATTAGAGGCCAAAAGGCTGTCAGACACAGAGATCAATTGTACCCTCTGAACCTGTCCTGGTAACCCAAAAAACAAATCATGTGTAATAGCCACAAAGGTGGCAAAGTATGCAGAATTGATTCTGCAGGCGCAACAAGCAGCCCGTGGAGAGCGGACAAGGTTCTCGTGCAGAAGACGGAGGAGAACACGGCCAAGAGGAGACTAGCTGTGCCCTCAGATGGACAGCTCAATCCCAGACGAGCCTGGTCCCCAAGTTAGAGCACGACATTCCTGGAATGACAGTCGACATCCCAGCCGCATTGAGGCTTTACATTCAACAGGAGCATGACTCTCTGTGTTGGTCTGGGTTCACCTTACAAAGCAAAAGACAGCAGGCTAGGTATTAAGAAACATGTCATCATAATCAACGCAGCGTAGTGTTGATACGAAGCTAAGCCAGCAGAGCCAGGGCTGGGCTGGGCCGCAGCGCCGGCCAGCCCGAGTGCGGTGAGAGCCAGGGCTGGGCTGGGCCGCAGTGCCGGCCGGCCCGAGTGCGGTGAGAGCCAGGGCTGGGCTGGGCAGCGCTGGCCCGCCCGAGTGCGGAGTTCCTGGCTCTCCCTCTGCAGAGTCAGCTGACTGCAGACAGACAGGCACTGCACCTGTGCGACGGCAGTGCAGTTGTTTTCTAGACCATGCGCGTAGCGTTTACTTGCATAGGTTTTTAGAAATTGTGTCTGATCGTGTAGGTGTCTGGAGATGATATAAAGCATGTGGGAAAAGGTGGTAGGCTCTATCCACACACTGTCGTTGTGTGCAAGGGACTTGAGTATCTGGTGATTTTGGTGCCTGTGGAAGGTTCTAGAACTGACTCTCTCCAAGCTACCAAGGGATGACAGTACTGGGCATGCTACGGGGCGACACTAACTTGAGCAGAAAACAGTTCCCTCCCTGCTTAGGTGTTGCTGTTTGGAGAAAACTCAGGGCTGGTCCCTTCACGTAACATGCGCACTGGGGGCTCCATGTTGGATGGTGCAGTGAGCAGCGGGGAGAGGGCTGGGGAGGGGCGGAGGGGACCACTATTACTGCTGCCTGGGGGAGCTCTGGAGCCCAGCCTTGGAGAGCAGGAGAGCACTTTGGGGGTGAGTGGTGGCAGCCTGGCACGTGCCTATTCTAGAATCATTTGTCCACTGGAGGACAGATTGTATACCATCTCCCATGCCAGCTTTGAATTCTGCCAGGGTGGCTCAAAGCGAGTCTTCCCTGTGATGGACTAGAACATTCTGTCGTTCTGGAACGGGTGACCCAGCACGGCCGCAGCGAGGGCTCTCTGTCTACTCAGAGGAAACGTGTACCTCATCGTCTTAGAAGATCATCTGAACCGTGCAGCGGCGTGGCAATTCAGTCTTAAAGCTGTAGCCGCACACCCAGCCTTGTACCAGGTTTCAGAGTGCCTGCTGGCCTCACACCACAGCCACATGAGCAAAGCCGGGGCCGTCAGCCCCGCCTGTCCCGGGGCTCCCTCAGGGAGGTGGCCATGCTGGCCCATGGAGGCTCCTAGAGACAGCCAGGTCCGAGCGGTGGCTGGCCTGTGACACTCTGTCCCCGAGGTGGCCTCTTCCTGCCATTCAAGGTGCCGCCAGGCTCCGGCTTCAAGCATCTGGCTGTGGGACCCCAAGGATCTGGCTTTCCACCCCTCGCCAGAGGTGAGCACACAGAGCGCTCTGTTAGTGAAGACACTGGAACAGCGGCAAAGGCAAGCTATGTACAGTCGGTGCAGGAAGACAAGGAAGGTGGAAACGTGGGCTGGCTTTGAGCCGGAGCCCTCCGGGCCTCGGCCTCCGGACTGACGGGATTTTAGGCGTGGGTTGGGTACAAGGCCACTGCTGAAGGTCCACGTCTCTTCTCTTGGATTCGTGGTGGCATTCCCACAAGTCTGCACACCTGGAGGCCCGGATGGTTCTATCTGTTCACATGGCATCTGTGCCCACGGCCCGACTGCCGCGTTGAGGTTCCCTTCTTTCCTGTGAACTCCCGCATGGCAGAGACCAACGAGTTGCAGTCTCTTGGTGCTAATCTGTCTATTGCCAGTGAAAGTCACAGGCTGCCCTGATGACCGTTCAGCAGGTATCTATTTTTGACTTGTACACAGTTCAGGGTTATGTGAGCTTTTAACAATTAGCCGGACTACTTTTATAATTAGAAGAAAATGTGTTAAAAACCGTACCTATCAATATACAGCATCTTGAGCTGGGGTGTTTAATCGTTACTTATTTCCCTCCTGCTAGCCACCCTCAACTAGGATTTACATAGATTCTGATGACAGACAGGAACTGATAAGGGAGGGAGATTTCCCAGGGACAATTAGGCAGGCTTCATAAGACAGAAGTCAGAGAACAATCTGGAACACAGGACTTATGTTCTGACCCAGCCACCGATGCTCATTAAGACATGCAGCGATTGCAGACTTTGAAGATTTCTTTCCTTTAAAACTTGCTTCTCTACTGTACAGAAAATAAGACAAAATGCCGTCTTTGCTTGCTAGCCCTGATGTCTCTGCTGCATTTCAATTTGAAGCACTCTTTCTTCTTAATTCTAAATTTCACAACACAAATCAAAAAGTCACTAAATGCGATTGGAGACTGCAGGAAGCACTCAAAATCACAGGCATCTCCTGTAGTTCACATTATTCCCATTATCGAAATCAGTGGGTGAGAGTTTCTTATGTATCAAAGCCCATAATTATTTTTCCAGGATATACCAAGGAGGGGGGCTGGGGGGCTGAGAATCACGTCAATAAAGAGCCAGGATTTCTGAAAAAAAAAAAAGTGAAGGAATTTTCCCAAAGAGCAATTATGTAAATAAAATGTGCCCAGGGCTAGAATAATTTAACTGTCACCCTCTGACAAGGATGGCCCCGGGGCACAGACCCACATTTATTTAGTTAGGGACACTGATCCCATAGGAAGGAGGGTGCTAAGAGAGAAAGAAATAACTCATTTTTAATTTATCTTGCTCCTGATTATTCAGTGTTATGGTGGTTGTTTTGTCTCTGTGCTACTTAGCATGGAGTCCTGTGGACCCTTCCCCCATCCTAACCCCATCCTCTCCTCCTCCCCCTTCCCCCAGCTAGTCCTCCCAACACCCTCCTCCCCAGGCTCCAAACTTGCTCAGCCTTTCAGCAAGATGCCCACGAGCATCCCTAGTTAAAGCCAGGTCCCCAGAACCTCTGTTCTCTGTCTATCGCCAAATATCCCCAAAGAACATTGCCACAGGGAGACATCTTGGACTTCTCCTGATACATCGCATAAAAAGACAGATTCTGGAGTCTAAATGGCCTTGATTTCCTGCTATTTTATCAAGCAGAGAAATGATTGGAACATTTCCTATGGACTGTTTTCCCAAAGGAGAGGCAAATGGCCTCAGCCTCTCTTCACGCTATGGGCGGTGGAGGGGCTGTGGGGCGAAAGGAAGCATGGATTTGCACGGGGCCTTGGGAACACCCTCCATCTTACAGATGAATTTCTCTAGAAACGTCTTTCAGGGCTGAGCAGCTCTGCCTTGCAAACTGCCTTTCAGCAGGTGACTACGTGCGACTTCCAGGCTGGTCTTCTGGTTCAGATTCCCGGCGGCCTGTCCACTCAGTCCCGGGGAGCAGGCTGGCCACCTGAACCTTGTGCTCACGTGGCTTCCCTTGTGTGGAGCCTCAGAACCACATCTGCCGTGGTGCAGGCCCCCTGTGTCCTGTCTGTCCTGTGCTTGCTCCCTCCTCTCGGGCCCTCTCCTGTCCTTTCTGTCACAGAAGTGTCTCAGGCTCCATCTCGGAGGCCTGGCGGTGTGGAGACAGATCGACAGCCCTGCACTGAAACCACGCTTGTCCCAATAACGGTAGGAGAGACAGAGAGACTGTTACTGTGGGCACTGACGTTGGGCGCAAGGCTGTTTGGAGGGAGGGTGGTGTGTCTCTGGCCCCCACGGGAGGAGGACTGGACCCCGCAGGACGCTGGGGCAGAGGCACCTGGCGAGGCCCAAGTGACTGAGGATGCAGAGCTCCTGCTGGGTCTTTGGCTCAACGAGGTCCAGCCCCGGTGGCCAGCGGCCCTGTGTCCAGCCCACGGAGTGAAGGTTTATGGATGCTGGTTCCTCCTAACAGGCCGCAGGGAGTTTAAAAAGCGTGCAGTGTTTCCAGATCCCTCTTCAGTGCTCTGCTCACCCCATGTTTCCTCTCCCACCAGGCCCTTGCCTGCTCCTTTCACACTCTGCTTTATAGAAACCTGAAGAATGCAGTTTTTGGTTTGCTGCTCGTGGGGTTTGGAGAAGGTGGGGGCAGAGGTCACCCTTGGGCCGCTGGGTCCCCACGGCTGGCCCGGCCGTGCCTGGGTAGCCGAGGGCTCCTGGCGTTTCCCAGGCCGAGCGCTGGCGGGTCCTCTCGCCGCAGCTTACGGTAACTTCTCTGACTACGCCCGCTCCGTTCTAAGTGCGGTGGCACTAACTCATAAAATTAATTCCCATTTTGTGGGATTGTCAGAAATGAGGATTGTTCTGACCTCTGTTTGAACTCATCAGCCGAAATGAAGTTGCTCAGTGAGCTGGGGAAGACAAAGCTCACTTCCAAGAAATTAATCAACCCCGCCAGCGCTCGGAAGAGGCCTGCGACCGGCCGCCAGCCGGCCCGGGCCCTGGCCGAGCCGCCGTGCAAATGAAAGCCATCACTCCTGGCAAGGAAGATGCTAAATTATCGGCTTTTAAATTTAATTTTCAGTTTACTTGTGTTTTCGATTAGCGTGCCACGTCTCTCCAGGACGGCGGCCGCGTTGCGTGCAGCCCCTCCCGGTGCCATCCCGGACACCTCTGCGATCACCGGCAGAAGGTAGATTCGATGCCAGATCTGTTAGTGCATGAAATGCGCGTGTGGGTGTCTTAGGGTACTCTAACTATCTACGAAACAGTGGCAAATTATTTTCTTCATGTCAAAATCAATAACAGGCTTGGAAATGAAACACCACCGTGGGCCTGGGGCCACAGAGTTTTCTGACAGACTCCTAAAACTATCTGCCGGTCCCCGAAGCCCGGGGCTCAGCCATTTGCTTGCCTTCCATTCATCATCCCTGGATGTCTCCCCGGGCTGGTAACACTTAGGGCCGGGTGACAGATGGGCGGCGGGGGGCGGAGGGGGGACTGTGTCCTCCACCTCTGTCCTCCACTGTGTCTCAGGTGCAAACACACCAAGTAGAAGCTTCCTCTGCCCTCCAGGAGGCTGAGGCTAGAGGACTGGGAGACCCAGGCCAGCTTGGGCTATGCAAGGAGGTCACAACACCTTAAAAAACAACACGAAATGAAATGAAGCAGCAGACGCTCAGCAGATTCTCAGCATGGGGGAGTCAGAACCCGTCAGGTAGCAGGTCAGTCTCCCTGGCATATTGTTACACGTTGTCACTGCGCGGGAGGCAGAGGGGCACCGGCCTCCGTGCGGGGCTCAGCAGCCCTCCTGGGGACGGGCAGAGGGACCCACTGCACATCCGTACCAGAGCACGAGGCCGCCCGGTTCTCCTCCCTGTGCAGGAAGATGGTGGCAAGCCCTCCTCCAGGGCTGGCACTGCAGAGTTGCACTCAGCAGGTTGTGTGCTCAGCAAGTGTCCAGATGCCCAGCAGGAGGCCGGGCACAGGGAGGGCCGGAAGAGGTCTGGGGAGGACTGGGGGGGACGACTGGGGGGTCTTTCCTGAAGGACACACACCAGCATCCAGGATGGGCCCAGGAGGAGGATGGGGTTCCATCAATTCCCGGCAGCTGGCTATGAGGAGGAACCGGCTATGAGGAAGGAACACAGTGAGCGCCCGTGGAGGCAGGTGCGCCTTCTGGGAGAAAGAGACGTGGTGTCTGCAAAGGGAGGTGCTCCATGACGTTCTGGTGTCCTACCCAGATACCGCGAGCTAACTAACGTGGGCTGTCCTAACCGCTCAGGTGGTCAGTGGGCTTTAAAGAAGCACTGAGCCGAGGCCACCAGTCCAGCGGGTCTGGTGCCCTTGTAAGAAGAGAGGGGCTGAGGCTGCCTGGGGCAGGGCTTGCGCTCGCACACAGGAGGTCCCGCTCAGGGCTGACTGACAGGAAAGGACGCAGGGAGCAAAAGATGCTGCAGGAGTGTGGGGTGTGGGGGAGATCACAGCAGGAACCAGCCCGCCTCACCTCCATCCGGGACCGGAGAATCCATGCCCTGAGCCTGGGCTGTGCTGCTTCGGGATGGTACTCACCGCTGACTGTGCACCCGTCCTCACCCGACTACCCTGAGCACCCGCCCTCACCCGACTACACTGCACACCCGCCCTCACCCGACTACCCTGCACACCCGCCCTCACCCGACTACCCTGCACACCCATCCTCACCCGACTACCCTGAGCACCCGTCCCCACCCGACTACCCTGAGCACCCGCCCTCACCCGACTACCCTGCACACCCATCCTCACCCGACTACCCTGAGCACCCGCCCTCACCCGACTACCCTGCACACCCATCCTCACCCGACTACCCTGCACACCCGTCCTCACCCGACTACCCTGAGCACCCGCCCTCACCCGACTACCCTGAGCACCCGCCCTCACCCGACTACCCTGCACACCTGTCCTCACCCGACTACCCTGCACACCCGCCCTCACCCGACTACCCTGAGCACCCGTCCTCACCCGACTACCCTGAGCACCCGTCCTCACCCGACTACCCTGAGCACCCGCCCTCACCCGACTACCCTGCACACCCATCCTCACCCGACTACCCTGAGCACCCGTCCTCACCCGACTACCCTGCACACCCATCCTCACCCGACTACCCTGCACACCCATCCTCACCCCACTACCCTGCACACCCGTCCTCACCCGACTACCCTGCACACCCATCCTCACCCGACTACCCTGCACACCCATCCTCACCCGACTACCCTGAGCACCTGTCCTCACCCGACTACCCTGAGCACCCGTCCTCACCCGACTACCCTGAGCACCCGTCCTCACCCGACTACCCTGCGCACCTGCCCTCACCCGACTACCCTGAGCACCCGTCCTCACCCGACTACCCTGAGCACCCGTCCTCACCCGACTACCCTGCACACCCGTCCTCACCCGACTACCCTGAGCACCCGCCCTCACCCGACTACCCTGCACACCCATCCTCACCCGACTACCCTGCACACCCATCCTCACCCGACTACCCTGCACACCCGTCCTTACCCGACTACCCTGAGCACCCGTCCTCACCCGACTACCCTGCACACCCGTCCTCACCCGACTACCCTGAGCACCCGCCCTCACCCGACTACCCTGAGCACCCGTCCCCACCCGACTACCCTGAGCACCCGTCCCCACCCGACTACCCTGAGCACCCGTCCTCACCCGACTACCCTGAGCACCCGCCCTCACCCGACTACCCTGAGCACCCGTCCTCACCCGACTACCCTGAGCACCCGTCCTCACCCGACTACCCTGCACACCCGTCCTCACCCGACTACCCTGCACACCCGTCCTCACCCGACTACCCTGAGCACCCGCCCTCACCCGACTACCCTGCACACCCATCCTCACCCGACTACCCTGAGCACCCGTCCCCACCCGACTACCCTGAGCACCCGTCCCCACCCGACTACCCTGCACACCCATCCTCACCCGACTACCCTGAGCACCCGTCCTCACCCGACTACCCTGAGCACCCGCCCTCACCCGACTACCCTGCACACCCATCCTCACCCGACTACCCTGCACACCCGTCCTCACCCGACTACCCTGAGCACCCGCCCTCACCCGACTACCGTGCACACCCGTCCTCACCCGACTACCCTGCACACCCGTCCTCACCCGACTACCCTGAGCACCCGTCCTCACCCGACTACCCTGCACACCCGTCCTCACCCGACTACCCTGAGCACCCGTCCTCACCCGACTACCCTGCGCACCCGTCCTCACCCGACTACCCTGCACACCCGTCCTCACCCGACTACCCTCCACACCCGTCCTCACCCGACTACCCTGAGCACCCATCCTCACCCGACTACCCTGCACACCCGTCCTCACCCGACTACCCTGCACACCCATCCTCACCCGACTACCCTCCACACCCGTCCTCACCCGACTACCCTGAGCACCCGTCCTCACCCGACTACCCTGCACACCCGTCCTCACCCGACTACCCTGCACACCCGTCCTCACCCGACTACCCTGCACACCCGTCCTCACCCGACTACCCTGCACACCCATCCTCACCCGACTACCCTGCACACCCATCCTCACCCGACTACCCTGCACACCCATCCTCACCCGACTACCCTCCATACCCGTCCTCACCCGACTACCCTGAGCACCCGTCCTCACCCGACCACCCTGGGCACCCGTCCTCACCCGACTACCGTCCTGCCCCAGGAGGTGCTGGCTGCCACGGGGCCTCAAAGGCCGGAGGCCTCCTTCCCTCGGGGCCGGCCACCACCCCCGGGTGTGTGTACAGCACAGACACTGTGCGCTCTGTGGTTGGTAAGTCCTGCGTGAGCTGCTGCTGCCCTGGCTGGCGGTGGCCGGGCCAGATGGGCCCACGTGGCTTCTTTGCCACATGCATGGATGGCAGGTGCAGAAGAGGCCCGGCTCAGACTCTGCGGGCCTTGCTGCCCTCCAGGGTCTTCAGGGAGGGCACACTGGCCTGTGGTAGACAGTTCTTGCTTTTCTACCCATCCCCACTGTGCTCTTAGAAATTACCATTGATTAATCATTCAGAAATTATAGACTCGTGGTGATTTCTTCTCTCCCACCCTCCCTTCTTCCCTTCCTTCCTTCCTTCATCCATCTTTCCTTCCTTCCATTCTTACTTCTTCTTCCTCCTCTTCCTCTACCTCTTCCTCCACTTCCTCCCCCTCCTCCTCCTCCTCCTTCACCCACTTCCTCCTCCTTCTCCTCCTTCTTTCTTCTCCTTTCCTTCCTCCTCCTCCTTTCTTTTAAAAATCAAACTTTTGTGATTTTCCAAAGACAAAGGTTTGCCAGGAGCACAAGTTCCTTTTGCATTTTGTTTTCTTAAATATCTTTACAAGATGCTGCCATGTGCAACTTGGCCTTGGTTGATGTGAGATGGAATGATTTAGAAATGCTGAACTCAGTGGGTAAAGAGCATAATTGGAGGGAATGTTAAGCAAGATGTATTTCACAGCATGAGTCTGACCTGTGCTTGGACTCGGGGTCTGGGCTGGGACCAGGTGCTGAGGGTCTGATGGAGGACGTTCTCCCCCTGCATGCAGGTCGCCATGTGGATCTGGGGAAGGGCCTTGGGCAGGGCTGGCGCCCTGGGCTCATGAGCTCTGTAGTCATTCAGGGCCTAACCTCAGAGGCCTCCACACTTGGTTTCATTCCAGGGCTGGGAAGGTGGCTCAGTGGTAGAGTGCTTGCCTAGCATGCATGAAGCCATGAGTTCGATTCCTCAGTACCACATACGCAGAAAAAGCCAGAAGTGGTGCTGTGATTCAAGTGATAGAGTGCTAGCCTTGAGCAAAAGAAGTTTAGGGACAGTGCCCAGCCCCAGGTCAAGCCCCAGGACTGCCAAAAAAAAAAAAAAAATTCCAAGCAGCCAGGTGCTGGTGGCTCATACCTTTAATCCTAGCTACAGATCTAAGGATTGTGGTTTGAATCCAGCCTGTGCATGAAAGTCCAAGGGATTTTTTTTTTGGGTCCGGTCATGGGGCCTGAACTCTGGGCCTGGACACTGTCCCTCAGCTCTTCAGTTCAAGGCTAGCGCTCTACCACGTGAGCCACAGCGCCACTTCTGGCTTAGTCCAAGGGATTTTTATCACCAATTAAACACTTAAAAGGTGGAAGTAGAGGTATTGTTAAGGTGCCTTGAACAAAAATGCTCAGAGACATAGTTCAGGACACGAGTTCAAGCCTTGGGATTGGCACAAACAATAAATACATACATACATACATACACACATACATACACAGATAAGTAACTAAACCATTTTTAAACTAGCTGTTTAGTTTCTCACAGAATCCTGGGCACTCCGTAGCTCATCCTGAGCTTGGAGAGGGAATTTTGGCCAAGGATGTGTTGTATTGTTAAAATGTCCATACTGCCCTCATTGGCCAACAAATGCTGTATCGAAATTCTAATGACATAGTGGCGCTGTAGCTCAAGTGGTAGAGCGCTCGCCTTGAGCTGAAGAGCTGAGGGACAGCACCCAGGCCCAGAGTTCAAGCCCCACGACTGACAAAAAAAAAAAAAAAAAAAAACCCTCCGAAATTCTAATGACATTATTTATGAAAAAAAGAAAAAACTTCTAAAAGTCATATGATGCCACAAAAGATGCTGAATGGCCAACTCAATCACAAGAAAGAGAAAGGAGGCCTGTGCCTACCAACTTCCAATATGTTACAGGGATTAAAGTACCAGGACACTGACAGAGAGAGGGGCGCTGAGCGGTGGGTCGGACACCGGAAATTAGCTCTGCCAACGGAGCCAAGAAAGTACAAAAGGAGAGGCGATGTCTTGAGCATGGTGACCACATGTAAAGGGAGGAAACTGGACCTGTAGGCTTTCAGTTCCTGCCACGTGTAATCAAAACCAGCTCAAAATGAGCTGAAACCTCATATCAAGTTTTACCTGAAACCAGCAGCCTCCTAGAATAACACAGAGGAGAAGCGAGTCGTGATGTTGGTCTGCAATGAATCATGAGTGTGGAACCAAAATCATAGGCAACAAAAGCAAAAAAAATTAGGTAAGTAGATAATATCAGACTTAAAGTCATCTGCACAGCCAGCAAGCAATCGGCAGGGGAAAGGCAGTGTGACGAACTGCGGAGAAATCTTTGCAATGTGTTTTCCTACTACGGGACTGACTTTCGAAATAGGTAAGACACCACTATGACACAGTGGACACAGGATCACAATTGACATCTCTTCTGAGAAGACAGGCATGTGGCCACAGGCAGACGAGCCGAGCGCTGGCATCACTGATTATCAGGAAAATGCAAACCACAGCCACAAGGAGATGCAACGCTGAGAGGATTCATGTCCTGTGTGCTGCTGGGGACATGTAGGATGTTGCAGCTCCCACAGAAATGGTGCACAGACGCCTGAAAGACAGAGGCACAGGGCTGCAGTCTGAGTAAGCTGCAGGCTCTACCCAGGGGACTGAGATCGAAATCTTAACAACACATGTGTGCTATGGCACTTTTCATGACAGCCAAACTAAGGAAGCAACTCAGCTTCATGGTTGCTGCCCAGACACAGGAATGAACCCTTGCCTTCCACCGGTATTGACGTTCTAAAAGAGGGGAAGTTATTTCCCTATCAATAAGAATGAAAATCTTTACTGAGCCTAAGGTAAGAAAGCCGAGCGTGCCCGTGGAGCTCAGCCTCGTCTGTGAGGAGTCGGGGCTTTGCTGTCCCCGTCAGCTAGGAAGTGGGGTTTTGCGATCCAAGATGGTGGCTCTGAGGGAGCTTGGTGCACGCTCAGCTCCAGGCTGAGGACGGGGCTCTCACCGGCCCAAGATGGTTCTAAGCTCTTGGGTTATGGAGACACATTGCACATGATGAACTCCCGGGGCCAGGGAAGGACTTGGCTATAATAATAAGGTGTCTAAGGCGCAGAGAAACTATGCAGCTAACTCGGCTAATCTGGACCAGCGCATGGCATCGTCCCCAAACGCTTGCTCCTGGGGACGCGGCTCTTGCTGTGTGCACTGATGAGAGCTGGCTCCCGAGCTGTGTGCTCCGCAGGGGGCTCGAGGGGCGGGGGAAGGGTGGATGCGGACAGCCAAGCTCAGCCCAGCCATCCCAGGAGCACGGCCACCGGCTTCTTGGTGGATGCCAGTGTTGCTCGCTACTCCTGCTGCAGAGCAGCAGGTGTCTGTGTGGAGACTGAGCCAGTCGGCTCGGTGTGTGCTTGGTGACCCCATCGCCAGGGAGGAAGCCCACGCCAGGTCCACTCCCTGCACTCCGGCTGCCACTGCACTGGTGGCTCCTCTGGACGTGACCTCAGCCGACGAGACCTCACCTGGATGTGACGTTGGCCCACGTGACCTCAGCCAGTGTCACCTCCCCCAACGTGACGTGACCTCACCTGACATGACCTCTCCCAACATGACCTCAGCCAATGCTACCTCACCTGATGTGACTTTGCCCCACGTGACCTTACCCAGATGAGACATCTACTAACCAACTTCACCTTCACTCAATCACTCAACCCCTCCCTCCCCCCCCCCCCCCCCCCCCCCCCCCGCTTGCATCTGAATATGGGATTTTTTCAAACTGGCCACCAACCTTTTTTTTTTTTTCTTCCGGTCGTGGGGCTTGAACTCTGGGCCTGGGCCCTCAGCTCTTCAGCTCAAGGCGAGCACTCTACCACTTGAGCCACACAGCACCACTTCCAGTTTTCTAGTGGTTTATTGGAGATAAGAGTCTCACAGACTTTCCTGCCCGGGCTGGCTTTGAACCGTGATCCTCAGATCTTAGTCTCCTGAGTAGCTAGGATTACAGTGTGAGCCACCAGTGCCTGGCTTAGCAACCAATCTTCTGCATTAGACTTGTTTATCTATCTGATTCCTGTCTTGAATCCTTGAGAAAATTAACGTGGCGCATCAGTTATTTATGGAGTATTTGCACGAATCACCTTCTGGGTAAGGGCCTTAGGGAATCATTACTAGTGTATGATGTGGACCTCCAGAAGGCTGGTGGATGCTGGTACCAAGAACCCCTGGTTCTGTCTGTGCCCAGCTCAGGACAGCGGCTCTTCCACCCCCAGGTGGCCTCAGTCTCCCGTGGGATCCAGCTCAGGACAGCGGCTCTTCCACCCTCGGGCGGCTTCAGTGCCTCCCGTGGGGCTCAGGACAGTGGCTCTTCCACCCCGGGGCGGCCTCAGTCTCCCGTGGGATCCAGCTCAGGACAGCGGCTCTTCCACCCCGGGCGGCCTCAGTCTCCCGTGGGATCCAGCTCAGGACAGCGGCTCTTCCACCCCTGGGCGGCTTCAGTGCCTCCCGTGGGGCTCAGGACAGTGGCTCTTCCACCCCAGGTGGCCTCAGTCTCCCGTGGGATCCAGCTCAGGACAGCGGCTCTTCCACCCCGGGCGGCCTCAGTCTCCCGTGGGATCCAGCTCAGGACAGCGGCTCTTCCACCCCCAGGTGGCCTCAGTCTCCCGTGGGATCCAGCTCAGGACAGTGGCTCTTCCACCCTCGGGCGGCTTCAGTGCCTCCCGTGGGGCTCAGGACAGTGGCTCTTCTACCCCGGGCGGCCTCAGTCTCCCGTGGGATCCAGCTCAGGACAGCGGCTCTTCTACCCCTGGGTGGCCTCAATGTCTCCTGTGGGGCTCAGCTCAGGACAGTGGCTCTTACCCACAGGTGGCCTCAGTGTCTCCCGTGGGGCCCGACTCAGGACAGTGGCTCTTCCACCCCCGGGCGGCCTCAGTCTCCTGTGGGGCCCGCCGAGGAGCCCAGAAAGCCACAGCAACTTCGGTTTTCAGCACAGCTCCACCTTGTTCCATATTTATTGATGAGAAAGACAAATTGTCCGTGCAAAAACCCCCTAGAACTTTTTCTAAGGGCAACAAGTGGATTTTCTCTCAGAAACAATTGATCAGTTCTTGTCCAGCCAAATGCTGCCCTTTGTAGGTGAACTGAACAATGTTGCCTCCTTTCTGTTGGTGAATGTGTTTATGAAGAACAACGACTCTTTGTTGCCTTAAAACTTTGGCCAACTTCTAGAACATTCATGACAAGTAGGACTTGGGACTCTTTCTCCAGCAGGTTCTGAATGCCGTCAGAAGCTGGCGCTCTACAATTCATAGTGATGTTCTTTCCTGGGTGCTGTGCGGGCCCCAGATTGGAAGATCTGTCATGCCAAGAGCAACAGGAAGCTCTGGTTAAACAGAGCCACAGAGCTCTCAAGAAATAAATGGCAATTTCATTGTGAAGGTAAATTCTTGCTTTACGCTTAACACGGGTTGTGTGTTAAACAGAAACGGAGCAGAGGCATGGCTCAGAAGAGCAAGGGAGAGACCAGGCCATGCCAGTCTCTGCCAGGAAGATGTTGAACTGGCTTTTCTGAAAGTATTTAAGCGTCTGTCTTTCAGGTGGCTTTTCCATGGCTGGGTGGCCGGTGTCTCGGCTCTGTGAGTCCCATTCGCATTGCAAATGAGGAGTGCTGATGGAATAATGAGGCTTTGGTTTTAAGGCCCAGGTTTCCAGCTCTGTGTGGGGAGCTGGCTCTGAGCGCCCCAGCACCAGCGTCAGGACAAACAGATAAAAATGCTTTAGACTACTTAACATCTTTTATCAGTAAGAAGATAATATGAGTCTTGATCAGGTGACATCATGAGGGAACAATCTTTCAGAGATTAATCTTTCTTCTCCATGTCAGAACAAGTTAGATTATTAACTAAAAAGGAGAGTGAGATAAAGACCAAGGATGTGAGTTGAATCTACAGGACACAACAGGCTGATCGGAGTGGGACGTTCAATTGGGCTGTCTTCGATGGTTGAATGGAACCTAATTTCCATTTGGGGGAACATAATTAGAATTAAAATGAGAATACATGTATGCACAGGAACCATGTATTGACTTGTTTTAGGAAATGTGGATAAGCGGCATACAGCAAGACCTTGCTGCCTGCTTTGCCTTTTACGAAGGGAGGAATCAGGACGGCGTCTTGGATAGATTGTACTTCTCAGGGCAGCGTTCCCGAGCCTCAGGCCATGCACAGGCAATGGCTTCCTCGGTCCTGGCCACAGATGGACAGGGCGGGCAGCCCAGGATGTGTGTGGCACAGCTTGGGAACAGAGGTCCCTTTTCCCTGGCCCTCAGGCCCAGAGATCCGGTCTTCTGAGACCTGAGGTGGAGGAGAGCAGCACAAGGTGCTGTTGGTACAGGTGGGCTGGGCCCCCTCTGTCCACACAGCAGCAGGCTCTCTGTAAGACTTCCCAGCACTGACGAGGGGCCTGTGCCGCAGACCCTGCCCGGCCTACGCCAGGTATCTTCGCCGGAGGACGCACACATCTATCTTCTTGATCCAGAGGCTCGGCCCAGGCACATGGGTGCTGACAGCCTTTGGACCCCACACCCACTCACACACAGCTCCTGCTTCCTCCCGTTCAGGGAGATTCTAGATTCTCAAAGAATGGATGCCAGGGACACCGTTGTGACTCTTGGGGATGCTGGGAGGTGCAGCACACATCAACACAGAGCCAGGGGAATCTAAAGGGTGTGTGAGGGTAAAAGCGGGGCTGCCCAGACCCGCTGATCTCTTCATTGGCCTGGACCCTAAGACTCCTGGGCGTGACTCTTTGGGGCAGGGTTGGCAGCTTTCGTCACTGGAGGTCATGTGTGTGCATCTTTGCGTTTACTTTCCGAAAGCATCAGAGGCACACAACATACCCACTGTCCACACGCAGTGCGCGGTCTTACCCACCACATGGTCCATGCATAGCAACTCTTACACTGCCATCACGCTGCTCACAAATGTACCAAGCACACACACACACACACACACGTGCATGCACACTCTGCTCTGCAGTACTATCCATGTCACATATACCACACACCCACTCACTGCCCCCTACATACATGTACACACATGTGTGCACACACATGCCACACATGCACACACACCCTGTCTGCAATGCTGTACATGTCACACATGTCACACATGTACACACATGCTGCATATGATATACCTGTCACATATACCACACACCCACTCACCACCCCACCACACGGGTGCACATGTGCACAAAAACACATGCACACAGACACACCACCTACATCATGCCAACACATACGCCACATCCTCTCAGCATCGTATAGCATGCAAACGACACACGCGTGTAAACATTAAATAAGCAGAGTATTGTTTCTGGGTTCGATGGCTTCTGATGCTTCTGTTTTGCTCCTGTCTGTTCCTTTCCATTATGCTATCATCCACTCCTGTGTGAGTAGCAGGGCTCTGGCCCCGGGGCCCATTTTCCCACCCTTGCGTGGTCCCTGTGGACCTTCGGGTGCTGGTCTGGTTTGTTTGCTGAGGCTACAGCGTGACCCCAGGACATCATAGAGGAAGGAGACCCAAGGTGTGTTTGCTGAGTGGGACCTTGCCTCTGGGGCGACCTGGTCCTGAGGACACGGCCGTGGATGGCTGCCTGCTGTGAGCCCTGTCTAGCTCCCGGCTCCTCTGTGCAGGCTGTGCTCCTTCCGTGAGCTGAGCTTTGGCCTCCTCGCACTGAGGCAAGAGCATCACCTGTCTAAGGCTGGCAGACCATCTTGGAGGTGCGATTCGAGGCAAGTGGCAGTGATCGGGGAGGCTGCCAGGCGGGGCTCTGTGTGGCACTGGGCACGTGGCCATCCCCGTTTACATCAAGGAGTATACAGCAAGCGTTCACTTGAAGAGCAAACGAGTCTCCTGGCACTGGAGAATCGGCCTCCATCTGCATATTGATGCTCACTCGCTAGCCTCTCAGGGGCTGGTGTGTGCGGGGCTGATCATTGCTTCTGACTGATAAGCAAAATATTTCCCGAGCGTGAAGCCTGGCGCACGCGGGGATAAGTGTAATCTGCCCCCGCACGCCGCTCCGCATTTGCATCCACAAGCAGCCCGGCCACGCTAAGCTCTCTGTTAGAGCTGCCTGGGAAGGCCCTCATTTGAATGAGGTGCACAGAGAGGGGGCTCCTGTAATTAGGGTGGCCTTGGCACACGGGACTCCAACGTGTCCTTCTTGGGTGACATTGTTCCCCGTTTGCAAATGAATGGTCATCATCATTTTCTTCTCACATTTTGACTCTTGTTTGATTGTATTTTTTTTTAAACCCAGTGACAGGCAAGCAAACAACACAGTGTAATGGACTCGATTACTACGGCTATCTGCATTACAGGAATTTTAAATCAGACAGTTTGATGCAATGTAGAAATATGTTTAAATATAGGATTAGACTCCTAATGTAGAAAGCAGTCAGAGATCAAAAGAGCTGCTTGGGAAGTGGCTCAGGGAGAAAAGGAGCACTGCCGGCGATCCCACAGCAAATGATTAAAGAGAGGCTCAGAGCCGTTCCAGCCTGTCTGCCTGTCAGATGAATGTCTGCGCGGCCACCCCGGCACAGGCGGGCAGTGGTCATTCACAGCGGTGGGGGGGGGTGGGGCGGGGGCCACACCGTGGGGGGGCATG